CTAAAAAAAAAAAAAAAAAAAGAAAGAAAGAAAAGAAGCTCTAATCAATTATAGGGGGGTTAGGAGATAAAATTAAATGTAAAGTACCAGCATTTGGAAGAGTTTTCAAAACGTGCTCTTTTCATCATTCCTAAACTGTACTATTAATTTATTAACAGTTTCTGAGGAAAACAATGGCATCTATATGAATATATATAATATTTTTGTCTGATGGCCATAGCATACATTTATCCATTCACTAACACATTTTCTCATCAGGATCCACACTTGAAGACTGCACTTTAAAAAAATTCAGAGTCTAAAGCATTTTCTGAATTGCCTGCGGCCACAGGTCACTGTACAACAGCTCTGAGGCACACGTCTCTCTAAAGCCTTTATCGTACACAGTCGCCAAGACACACTATCCTGTGAGAAGACTGGGTCCCACAGGTTGCTGGGCATTCCTTCAGTCTCTCAGAGTAGGGGAGCAAGTGTGTCCTCTCAGAACTGGATCCACACCATGGCCCACGGCCTCACATGCTGGGGCCCAGGGTTCCTGGGTTTCTGACTGATGTGATCTTTTTCAAGACCAAGGGGACATGCCAGGTTATGGAACTTCAAAAAAAAGTCATTAGAGAAACGCTTAAATTTTGGTATTGAGATTCAGACCAAGGAAGATATAGGAGCTAAACTTAGGACCAAATTTGGAGGGCGCAGCGAAGGTAAGGTTTTAGAGTTAGTGCTGGGACAGGGCCCATCACACAGAGTCCAGAATCTCGGTGTTGACATCATCCCTGAGCTTATCGGACAGTTCTCCAACATGAATGTCATCCCCCCTCACTCCTTTCCCAAGGGAACCACCAGGGACCCCTCAGCATAGCAGGGACAGCACCTCCCCAGGTGGCTACATTCTACGTGCTGTTCCCCTGGAGAGCCATGTGGGCTGCACCTGAGATCATGACTGTCACTCCCCTGCCCCCCACCCCGGCACATTGCTCCTGGGACCACAGTATTCCATAACCAGTTTCTTCCTCAGAGGACTGAGGCTCACCTCTGATATGTCTAGTGTTAATGCAAAATAAGTCTTATTGTACACATTACTTCCATTTTTATCATATGTCTTTTAAAAACAGTTCTACAGGGCCAGCTTCATAGCATAGTGGCTATGCACTCTGCATTGAGAGCTGCATTTCACATGGCTAACCACAGTTCAAGCCCTGTCCCTGCAGCCTGAAAAACACGCTGGGCAGATGTGCATGCCCCAAATACCAGCTGAATAGAGAAATGGATAAAACAGGATTGCGGCGTGATCACACTCCACTGGGCTGATTTACCTCTCTCTCTCTCTCTGGTGAGTGTATGCATCCTTTGACAATCAAAAATCATTTTTAAAATAACTGACAAAGCTTATAATGAAGAGTCTGTTTTTAGAGACAGAAATTCTTCCTGACAGCATCCCTCTTATTCAGGATTTCTGTTCCCTAGGAAGCATCCATTTTTTTTTTTTTTTTGCTATAGGGCACGTGTGCTCACCAGACAGACAGAGAGAGACAGAGAGACAGAAAGCAGGAAGTCACCCCCCAGGGGGGATGGCCACACCGCAATCCCTTCTCCTCCATTCTCCTTTCGGGGTCCTGGGCACGCACGCACACACACCCGGCGTGAGTTTAAGCCACTGGGTCTGGGACTCGAACCGTGGTCGACTATGTGGGAGTCCAGTGACATAGCCATTATGCTAACTGCTGGTCCTCATTTTTTTATTCCATAAGAAATTGAGCAGATTGGTCATATGGCCCAAGAATTCATTTTCTAGTTGTACACCCGAAGAAGTTAAAGCAGGGACTGAACAGATATTTATACACCCGAGTTTGTAACTGCATATCCCAAACTCTGAGCACCCCAAGTCCACCCATGGATGAATGCAGGAACAACAGGTGGAATACCCAGACACTGGAGCATTTATCAGCCTAAAAGGGAAAAAAATTCATTTCCTATAACAAGGTGGGAACTTCCAGACGTCCTACTAAGTGAAGTAAGACAGATGCAAAAGGACAAATATTGGATCCTAAGATGGATACGGTACTTCAGCTGTGAAATATTGCTTTCCTTGACCAAAAATGAAGATTTTTTTCTGCTGAGACTTCCCTGTACAGATTTATTTCTAGTGACTCTATTTCTCCATTTCTCTGTCTCTGTCTCACTGTGTCTCTCTGTGACTTTTAAATTTTTTTAAGGTAAAGTATTCTCTGGGCTCTCAAGCCTCTCCTTTACTGTGTTAATCGGTTTCTTCTCAACTTCATTTAGGAAAGGCACACACCCAGGCCAGACCCACCCTGAGAAGGACACCACACTTCAGCCTTGAAATGTTGGGTTCCTTGACCTATAATGAAGATTTTCTGCTGAGCCATCCTCGTCCAGACTCATTTCTACTGGGTAGGGATACCTCTGACTCCTTTTCATTACTCTCGGACTCTATCTGTCTGGCTGTGTCTCCCTGTGACTATTAAATTTTTTTTAATTTGTTTAAGGTAAAGTATCCTCAGTTCCCTCACGTCTCTCCTTCACTGTGTTAATTAGTGCCTTTCCCCACTTCATTTAGGAGAGGCACAAACCCAAGCCCGATCCACCCTGAGATGGATACCATACTTCAGCTGTGGACAAGTGGTTGTATTGACCAAAAATGAAGATTTTCTGCTGAGAATTCTCCCTCTAGACTCATTTCTAGTGGATAGAGATAACTCTGACTCCTTCTGTCCATTTCTCTCTGTCTTGCTGTGTCATCCTGTGACTTTGAATTTTTTTTTCCTTAGGTATTTTGAGGGCTCGCAAGCCTCTCCTTTATTGTGTTGATTGGTGCCATTCTCTACATCATTTAGGAAAGCACAAACCCAGGTCAGGCCCATCTGTGATGGATACTGTACTTCGGCTGTGGTATATTGGACTCTTGACCAAAAATGAAGATTTTCGTCTGAGACGTCACCCTCCAGACTCATTTCTTGTGGGTAGAGACACCTCTGACTCCTTCTCTCCATTACTCTCTGTTTCTCTCTGAACTGCTCTGACTCCCTGTGACTTTTAATTTTTTTTTTTATTTTCTGGGCTCTCAAGCCTCTCCTGTATTGTGTTAATTAGTGCCATGGCCACTTCATTTAGGAAAGACACAAACTCAGGCCAGGCCCATCCTGAGGTGAATATTGTCTTTCATCTGTGAAATATTGGTTTCCTTGACCAAAAATGAAGATTTTTCTGCTGCGACTTCCCCCTCCAGACTGATTTCTAGTGGGTAGGGATACCTCTGACTCCTTCTCTCCATTTCTCTCTGTTTCTGTCTTCATGTGTCTTTTTGTGACTTTTTTAAAGAAAATTTAAAGTTAAAATATTCTCTGGGCTCTAAAACTTTTCTTTGTTGTGTTAATTGGTGCAATTTTCCACTTCATTTAGAAAATGCACAAGCCCTGGCCTGGCCCATCCTGAGGTGGATACCGTACTTCAAGTGTGAAATATTGTTTTCCTTGACCAAAAATGAAGATTTCCTGCAGAGACTTCTCTTTCCACACTCATTTCTAGTGAGTAGAGATACCTCTCACTCCTTCTCTCCATTTGTCTCTCTCTCTGTCTTGCTGTGTCTCCCTGTGACTTTTATTTTATTTTTTTTTAAAGACAAGTATTCTCTGGGCTCTCAAGCCTCTCCTATTTGTGTTAATTGGTGCTTTTCTCCACTTCATTTAGGAAAGGCACAAACTCAGAGTAGACTCATCCTGAAATGAATATCGTACTTTAGCTGTGAAAATATTGGTTTCTTTGACCAAAAATGAAGATTTTCTGCTGAGACTTCCCCCTACAGACTCATTTCTAGTGGGTAGGGATACTTCTGACTCCGTCTCTCCATTTCTCTCTCTCTCTGTGTCTCCTTGAGGCTTTTCATTTATTAAATTTTTTTTAAGGTAAGTACTCTCTGGACGTGAAGACTCTTGGATACTGTGTTAATTGATGCCATTTCCCACTTCACTTAGGAAAGGCTCAAACCCAGGCCAGGCCCATCCTGTGGTGGATACCATACTTCAGCTGCGAAATACAGGATTCCTTGACAAAAAATGAAGATTTTCTGCTTAGATTTCCATCTCCTGGCTCATTTCTAGTGCGTAGGGATACCTCTGACTGCTTCTCTCCGTTTCTCTCTGTCTCTCTCTGTCTCTCTGTGTCTCCCTGTGACTTTTAATTTTATTAAGTTTTTTTAAGGTGAAGTACTTTCTTGGCTTTCAAGCCTCTCCTGTATGGTGTATATTATTGGTGCCTTTCCCCACTTTGCTTAGGAAAGGCAGAAACCCATCTTAGGCCCATCCTAAGATGGATACCATATTTCAGCTGCGAAATATTGGTTTCCCTCACCAAAATTAAAGATTTTCTGCTGATACTTCCCCTTCCAGACTCATTTCTAGTGGGTAGGGATACCTCTGACTCCTCTCCATTTCTCTCTGGCTCTGTCTTGTTGTGTCTCCCTGTGACTTTTGATTTTTTAAAATTTTCATTATTTTTATTAATTAATTTATTTTACATGCTTTCACTAAACATCACCACAGCATACAAAATGTGATTTTTCCAGCCAGAATGCACTGTACAGTGGCCTAATCATACATGTTATCATCAACAAATAATTTTCCATTTATTCTTTCTTGTATATACTTTTTTTCCCTTTATTTCTCTCACTCTTCCATTTCCCATCCTCCTCCCACCTCTGGTATCTGCATTTCCTTTCCATTCCTTTATTCATTCCCACATTGTATTGATTCACAAAGTATCTTAATTAATCTAAATACTTTCAATAGTAAGTTCAGGTGATATATATCTGTGAACAAAAGTTGACTTTAGGCATGAAATTGTGGGTCGAATGAATATATTATAAAATAGCACATAGCTGAGGCTAAATAGCTTACTGTGGTCACTAAGAAGGCATTTTTAAAATACATTTTTTAATTTCTAGAAAGGAAGTTTTAGCTTTAATAAACCAAAATTAAAAAAAAATGTTAAGAGAACTTTGCTTAATACTTAAATTCAGGGAGCAGGTTAGGATTCTGTTCAAATAGTAGGTACATGGACCTGTCCACAACTCAAGAGAAGACAAAACTCCTTAACACTGGAAGACAAAGCATAGAAGATCAGTAATGTTTTAGTCAAAAGTCATAAAGTTCTATTTCACTTCAGTTTTCCTGACATAGCACTCACTTCAGAACTTCTTGGCAAGCTGGTCTGATGTTGGTGAATTCATTCATGATTTGCTTATCTGAGAATGCTCTTGTCTTCTCTTCCCATATGAAGGATAATCTTGCCAGACATAATATTCTTGGTTGAAATTGTTTTTCACGCAACACTTTGAACATATTTTCCAATTCGTTTTTGTTCACATTGTTTCTGAAGAGAGGTTCACTATTAGCCTGATGGGATATTCTTTGTAGGTAACTTGCCGTTTCTCTCTTGCCAATCTTTTTATCTTGTCTTTGTCTGTGGTTTTGATCCATCGGGCTATAATGTGTGTTGGAGAAGATCTTCTTGGATTGACCCTCTTTAGGGTCCTTTGTATTTCTCTCATCTGGATCTTTGAATGCTTCTTGAGGTTTGGGAAATTTTCTTGCAGGATTTTATGAACTAGATTATCAATGCCCTTATTAGTCTCTTCACCTTCTGGTATACCAATTATCTGGATGTTTGGATGTTTGTTGATATCTAGGATTTCTCATATATTTTTTCATTTTGAGGGCTATTTTCCCAATCTTAGAGGTGGATTTTTCTAGGCCAGTGATGATATCTTCTACATCTGAGATTCAATTTTCTGTATGATCTAGTCCACTCTTAATACTTTCAAAGGAGGTGTTGACATCCTTTATTATATTGTAAAGTGTGTAATTCCTCTTTTAGATCTTGCAAGAATTTCCTCATCTCCTGGAACTCATCAACTTCTTTCTCCTTTCTCTTTAGCAGTTCATTATCTCTCTTCTCTTCCATCTCTGTTAGCTTTGTCATTATAAATACTCTAAATTCTTTTTTTTTTTTAAAGAGGTTTTCGCTATAGGGCACATGTGCTTGCCAGGAAGACAGAGAGAGACAGAGATACAGAAAGTGAGAAATCACCCACCCCCCCCGGAGAGTTGGCCATACTGCAATCCCTTCTCCTCCATTCTCCTCTTGGGATCTTGGGCATGCATGCATGCACATGTGCCCAGTGTGAGTTTAAGTCACCAGGTTCAGGACTCGAATTGCGGTCGACTACATGGGAGTCCAGCAACATAGCCATTATGCTAACTGCTGGTCCCAATACTCTAAATTCTTCATCAGACATTTCCATGAGTTCCATTGTACTGTCTGTGGATGAAGAGGAGCTATTCTTTTCCTTTGGGAGAGAGGTATTTTCTTGGTTTTGTGCATTTCTTGTTCCCCTGTGGTGATTTCTAGTCATCTGATGGGTTATTTGTTTCTTCATGATTTCAAGAGGATCAATCTAAGTGATCAGAGGCACACAGGAGGATGGGGTCTGCAAACTCTTTCACGTTGCAATTTTCTCCCTTTGTGTCACAGATTCAGTGGGAGTGGAGGAATATGAAGGCCCAAATAGTATTTGGATTTTGGCAACTTTTCACCGAGATCTGACTAGACACTCAGTGTGTAGAGGCTAAGCAGCAACGTGATGAGGTAAAAGAAAAAAATATAAAAAAGAACAAGGAAAAGCAAGCAAATGAACACAATATTTGTTAATTAAAAAAACAATATCTAGATCTCAGCTCATGGTGGACTCAGTCTTCTTCTGGCCCGCCCTTTCTGTTTGCCTAGATGGGAGGGAATAGGGAAGAAGATTATCATCAATATAAATGAGGATTTTAGAGCCATGAAAAAACTTTACGTTAAAATTTTTTTAAAAAAGAAAAATTTAAAAAATGAAAAGAGACAGAGAGACCGAAAAAGACAGAGAGAAACAGAGAGAAGGATACAGGGCATCTACCAGGGTAAATTCTCAGCAGGACATCTTCATTGCTTTTATCTCTGAAATCTCTAGATCTCTGGTCTTCTCAGAGTTTCTAAGAGATAATTCAAACAGAGTACCATTAGGCTGAAAGAAAAACAGAAAGACTTTTTTTTTTTTTTTAAACTTTTTGCCATTGTGAGAATGGGCTTGCTGGAGGAGAGAAACAAAGAGCAGCAGGAGTGAGGGCTGTGGGACTACCAAGTTTTTCTAAAGGATGGTCACTCCCATAAGGTGGCCTGTTGTGCTACTTACATAGAACAGAACCTTATTAGGAAGTGACTGGTTCCTCTAGGAACATGACTTTAATGACTTATAACAGCTTCAGCGCTGACACAATTATGATCATTCCATTATGATCAAACCTTTCTTACTTGACTTCCATATCATAACTCTGGTCTCTGTATCTGTGACACTGCCTCCTCTGCTTTTATTGACCAAAACCCAATATAAGCATGCATTTTATTATTGTAAAGCCCAGGAGAGAAACGGTATACAATTTGCTAAGCAAAGACTCAGAGTTAGATGAAACTCATAGTGACAGTGCATCAGCCTACAAGAAGGAAGAGCCAATTCAGAAAGATGCATTGCTCAAAAAATCTAGGCGAAGGCCATTTCAACAGTATTTAAAAAGTGATTTATGTTTATCAATTTGACAATAATAGATATAAAAAAAATGAGAGTATTTTATATTTAATTCTGAATGGATTTTAAAGTTGTTTTTGATGTTTTACTCTTATGAATAAAGTTGTTTTGAACTTGCAATAGATCCTCTAGGTGTATACTTAGAAGTAGAAAGTAGTACTATAATGTATACATATTTTCAATGTTACTCTGTCATGTTGAGTAGTTTTCCAAAATGATTCTATCTATTTATATATTATTATTTCAAATTTTTGCCGAAGGGTGCATGCTCTCACTGGAAAGAGACAGATAGAGGGAAAGTGAGAAACCACTTCCCAGGAGAATTAGCTACACTGCAACCCCTTCTTCTTCGTTCTCTTTCTGGGATTTTTGGGCACACACACACACATGCACCCAGTGTGATTTTTCAAGCCACCAGGTCTGAGATTCGAACCACAGTTGACCAGTCCCCAGTGGGACTCCAGCACCTTAACTACCATGCCACATGCTGGCCCAGGGATCCTATCACTGTTTATTTCCATTAGCAGCATATTGATAAACATTGTTTCATGTCCTTGCCCACATAGGACACATTTTGATAGTTATTATTTTTCCAGTGTGATCTTCATTAGCGTTTCCCTAATTAGTAATTTTTATGAACAATTTTTTATGTATTTATGTGTCATGTATCTTGCTATAGAATGCTTCTTATTGCCTTAATTACTTTTTTCCCTCCAATAAATATATTACTTTACTAACTGATTTACTATTCCTTTGCAAATTGATTTGTAGAATGTCTTCACATATGCTCTGGGTAATCCTTTTCATGAAGTGGTATGTTACAAATACCTTTATCCAGTGTACTAAAAGTTTTCACTCTGTAGGGGATGATTAAGTACACGTACAACATACTATAATTTCCTTTTCCCTGATTTCAACTCTGCAAATGGACCTTCACTTCTAATTTGACATAAATTCTTAAAAATATCACTTGTCAGCTCCATTTCCTCCCATTCTTTCTTGAACTTACACAAATCAGGAGGAAGTCCATGCTTTTAACTGAAATCATTCTTGTCTTTGTCGTAAGTTAGTCTTGTATTGCCAGATTCAATAGTTGCTTTCAGGTTGTTATTTTATTAATCATATTAGAAGTATTTTTACTTAATTGCTAATGCATAATTGATCCATTTTTTTTTGAGTGTCACTAAATTCACTCCCTTGGGATTTAGCTGATCATATTGTTAAAAGGTGCTTTGCTTTGTTAAGCCTGAACCTGCCCTCAATCTTCCCAACCTCTAACTGGCTGTGGGCTCGGGGATCACCTCTGGCTCTTGTCTTTTTTAATTTTTTAATTGAAGTTACTTTATTACAAGAATTTATATAAAATAAATAATAAACACAACAGTTAAAAATAAAATTTACACAGAACTAAGAAAGCAAGTGTACAAATTTCAAATGAAAAGCTAATAATAACTACTTTATTAGTTCATTTGAAAT